CTTCACTGGACTTCGCTGTGTGCAACAGTGCAAAAGGACCTTTCCTTTTGCATTTTGAGGTTAGTCTCCCTTCATGCTTACTTCACTTTAGTTCACTATGGAGAGTGGTCTTGGAGGATTGAAACTTAATTCTTTTAGGATGAAATTAAACTGGAAGACACGCTTCAGAAGCCTACCTAATACACTCCAGTCACAAATGAGCACTCTGATCATTGGATCAAACTAGAGCTAGTCCAAAAGAAAAAAAAAAAAAATCCTGAGATGTGTAATAATGTTAAAATCAGGTCTTCAGTACAAATCCACAGTACCTGCTAACACCTTGCACCCATACACCTATGAAATCCACATGAAAAAAAAACAACTTTGCAAAGAACTTCCATACAATTCAAATATGAAATCTGATATTGCTCAGCAATTTTCTCAGACTCCATCAAGGAAATTATACATTACACAAGTTGTAAGTGAGCATATATGAATGATGCATGTCAAAATTTGTACTTCCATAGACACAAAAAAGTGTGCTACTGATGACCGAAGAAACCTCATTCATTAAATTAATTCAGAGCAAGTATCTGACAACTATATATCCAGAACTATAATAATAAAGGACAGAGTTCCAGGCCATCAAAGGGAAGCTAATAGACCCTTCTGAACGCCAAAGCAGAGATCTTCAAGGCAAAATATTAAGATAAAACATGAGTGTGTAGACTGCAAGCAGTAAAAAGTACATTGGAATATAACAGATACTACTTTCATGCATGAAATGCAATACTGCAACACATATGCCTGAAACACTATTGTCACTATAAAAAGCTACAAAAAACAATGAAAACTGAAAAGCTAAATGTGTCCTCCCTCTTCACTTCAGCATAATTTCTACATTTTTAGAAAGATCTTAAGAACTAGAAAGCATATGAAAATACAGCAAATCAAAAAGCTTTAATGGATTCATTGAGCATAAAGAATTTAGAGTTCCATCCAGTGTCTTGGACCTTCTCTACTTTGAAGCCCCTAATCACATAAGAATGAACTTTTTTTTTGTCAGAACAAGGACTATTGCTAAACTAGAATTATCTACATGCTGCAACTCTAATTGCCTGCCCATGAATTTGGAACACTTAAAAGACTCACTCAGTGATGACTAAGACTTAAAGAGGCATCAAAAGAAGAAAAGAAAAAAGAAAAAAGGAGGGGAACAGAGGAGGGGAACAAGGGAAAATAACTAGAGAAAGTTAACATTTAATCTATAGTCATTTAAGGCAGAATACCTGAAAGGAGAACAGAACAAAAAAGGGTGGACAAGGAGTCAAGAGAACAGATGGTGCAAGTCTAATGAGGTAGTACTGACTGTTTATAGTCAATTTGGCAATTGTGTACCTGGCACATAGCTCACACTTGTGTTGCCATAATTCTGATGGGAATTAATATGTGGAACTACATGAAAGAGAAAACCCTAAAATGAATGCATTGTAATCAAATCAAAATAAACAAATAAAAAACCAAACAACCAACCCTTAAGATGTGTTTACAGCTGTTCACACTCAGAAGATAACAATAAAACCACAGAACAAGCACAACAGGAATTTATGCAATTCAAAGTATAGAATAGAAAATCATTCAACAAAAATATGCATTTAGCTACTGAAGTTTGGATCTTACCCAGAAAAAGAAAGGAAAAAAAGGGGAATGTTTAATATTTGCAAAAGCCCACAAAAAGATAAAGTAGCAAAGTACTTCAAAACAAAAGGCTTAATTGTTAATTTAGACTAAGAAAAGATATCTGACAAGTAATAGTTTCTGACATGGTGCAGTATTAAAACTATTAACATGAAAAAAGTGAAAGGAGTTATGATGGACTGCATGAAGGACAGAAAAACACAAGAAAACAGGAATTCCAAAAAGAACCCAAGCAAAAAACCCCAAACAAAAATATCCCAACCCAACAAAAAAAAGATAATTAAGAACAAAATAAAATCACAATCCTTAATAAGATTAAAAAAAGAAAAAAAGAAAAAAAGACAGGGATGTTATATGGAAGATAACCATTAACTGAAGCAGTCAAAAGTAGCATTTTGCTCCTCAGTGCTCTCAAGTTTTATTTTATTTTAATTTGAAACACAGATACCAATATACTGTTTTGAGCCCTGGATGGCTCGGTATTTTCAAACTAAGTGAAATCCTTCCAGAACTAAGACAGACTCTTAATTTAGTACAGTGATAGTACGTATGTATTACTTTTGTTAGTGGGAACAAAAGGAAGGGAGGGAGAGGAAAGGAATGAAAATGAAAAAAAAACTCTCAACGAAGCAAGACTTTGGATAATGGGAAGTAATAAAACTTTAAGGAGGACATGTACAAATGCACTGGTTTTGATCAAGGTACCGTCCAACTCCTGACACTATTTTAAGCCAATACATGTTTTTAAATCACACTTGCTTTATGAATCAGTGCTTACTTAGTTAAAATAACAACAATAAGCAGAAAGTACAAAATTCCCTGGAATCACATTATCATTTTGGAGATGGTGGGGCAAAAATGAAAGCACAGAGGATCCTAAATAAAATATTTCTTTGGAAAAATGAGTAGACTACTGAGACCAGGTCATCACCAAACAGACACAGATGTGGAGGAACTGTGAGAAGGGAAATTTCTTCTAGAACAGTCTATACTCCCGCACTATAGAAAAAAGTTTTAATGAAAATGTCCCTTTCACAGGATTTTTTTTGTTTGTTTGTTTTTACAAACATAATCATTCTGGAACACTACAGCAAAGACACACAGCATATTTAAGATACAAGACCACTAAGCCATACTATACCCTCTTTAAGTAGACTATAGCAGAAAAGGCGGGCTCTTTCCAAATCTCCCAACTGTCGACAAATTCCTGTATAGACTCGACATAGAGCCTGATTGAAATTGTAATTTGTGGCGTTCTTCTGAGCCTTGAGTTTACTGAGAATAACATGCAGGAAGGACTCTGCTAAATGCTATAAGGCACAAAAAATATCGTTAGACTATTATATACTTGAGAATATTTGATAACGTTATAGTAGTATGACAAGTAAAAAGAACTATCTTATTTGCAAGAATACTGTTTGCATACATATAAAAATGCAGAAAAGTAAATCAGAGGCAACCAGCGAAAGAAAAAAGAGTGAGGAGCAATTTCCCAGAATAAACATGCCTTAAACAGATGCAGTATAGGACTACTATTCTTTAAATATAAACTGTTTAGTTATGTGATTGAAAACTATCTTCCTGAAACAAAAAGTGAGGAGAAGAATAATGACAGGTAGAGGAACCCCAATAACCTAATAAGAGCAAATGGAGCACCCTGACTTGGCTACTCCCAGAGCTGTCACAGGAGGACAAACAGCCAATTGTCCAGGTGTGACACTTACTAGATTAGTCATCAGCAGAGTCTCTCCCCAGATCACCTCACGCACTGCAGGAGGTGAGAAGGGGGCATTACTGTCTACAGTAACATGGGACTCAATATGAGATGCAAGGAAGGAGAATATTGGGAGTGTGCAAGACAACTATAGGATGTTTAGAGGGAGGGCTAAAAGTGGGGAGTAGAATGAGAGACTTAGGAGCCAGGTGCTGGGGAGGCCACAGGTTTAGACTGGGTACCTGCAGACACCAGGGAGTCTAAGTGTTGGCTTCGTGAGGAACCAGAAGGTCCAAGCCAGATACCTGAAAGACCGGGGGTCTGAGGGTCAGATGCAGGTAAGGCCATAGGTCTGGACCAGCTACTGGAGGGATGTGTGTGCACTTCTGTGTCTGTAAGTCTGCCAGTTCATGAGACAAGAGGGAAGAACAGGAGTCACCTACCAGATATACTGTCTAATGTTAGCTCCTGGAGGGATCCATACTGTCTGCATATATGTGTATGTATTTTCCACTACTAGGCTTTCACCCTGATCAGCCAGAGAAGGGAACAAGATCAGGGGCATATTGTGTGCGTGTGTGCCTATCAGGAGTACATACTCAGCCTTGCTACTGGCTGGACCTGGAAACATAAAGCTGCTGCAGCCTTGCTTCTATGAAGTTACCAGATTTGGCAACTCCTAACAAAGATAACCCGAGAACTTGGTGGCAACTTCTGTGGAGAACTTAATTACATTCAAGAACTGAAACAGGGCAAAATGCTGCCATGCATCAGTTGGTGAATTGCTCTGCTGCAGACTACAAATTATCTATGAGAAAGACATCAATGTGACTAAATTTTTTCAACACTGATGCTAAGCAAGTTGTGAGAAACAAACTAACGAAAGATTTTTCCAATAAAATTCATTTGAACAACCTGATATAGAAAAATAAAGGTAAACATGGAATGAAAGGGTATGTCACTATTGTATATACAATGCAGTTTATCTTATTTAATTGAAAAAAAAAAAAAGGTAATTGAACCTCACACTTTTCGAGGAACTCCTTCTACAATTGTTAATGCTAGCCACCACAAAAAATGCTGCAAAAATAGTGTTTTATGTATACATCAAGAAAGCAAACGTACTTACAAATGCAGTTTTGCATCTTGAACACCACTGAACAGTAATTTCTTGTACAGTTCTATATTTTCTTAAGTTATACAAGTTTAGATGTCTGAAAACCTTTCAAGACTACATTTTGGCACTGCAGATTGCCTGAACAGTTGAGAATTCAAATAGTACATACTTATACTCTTTTCACCTGCACAGAAATCATTATTAAAGCACAAAATTAAAAATTATGCTACTTACCTTGTTTTTTATTCCAAATTCATAAACAACTTCTTTCTCTTCATCTCTCATTATTGGAATCTTTGAGATATTGCCGACATACACATGACCTTTAATAACTGGTAACAAGTCAAAACAGGATTCAGCAATTTTCTTCAGTGCCAAAGATACTTTCTGGCAGTCAGGATCAATAACCTTCTTTACTGGTAGTGATCCTTCTAAACTGGAATTGCGTGCTGAATCACTGATTTCACAGCTTTCGTCACAGAAAGCCTCCTGCATTTCAGAGATTGTATTTTTAGTATTTCCGATAGCAGCAGTATCATTGGGCTCCAGCTTTAGTGGTTCACTGTCCAACCTCAGCCTCTTTGCACTTCTTGGCATAGATATTGGCAATAGTGCCCGTTTTTCAAGATGATTTGATGAGCTTGAAAACAATTGCTGATTTTGCACATCTTTGTCTTGATCTTTGCTACTATCAGATTTCAAATTGCTTCCAGTTTTAACAAAAGCAGTTGATGTAGATGCAATTGCTTTGAACCCACCTATTTGAGCCACAGGTCCTGGCAAGCTTTGGCTGTCTGAAAAAGCACATCGGTTAAGCTGAATATTACCTTTCAGAATGTTTAGTGTCCTTGCCCTTGCAGACAGCTCCGGATACATAGTGTCCAATATTTTCACAGAGTTCTCCTGAGGAGCACCTGGAGCAGCACTATCAGCTGCAAACAGAGGAAATCTTCCTGGGACAGGAAGTGCATGCTTTGGAATGGAAGTACAAAATTTCAAAGGTGAGGAGCGAATCCTTCTACCTACTGCCATTTCTGAGGGTGAGGGAGGAGAAAATAGAAGAGCAGATTTTACTGTTGGAGTATCTGTTAATGGAGACATGAGAGGAGGAACAGGAGTTTCACGTAGTGGGGATATCAGGTCATCAAGAGGGGAAAGCAAAGAGGATCGACCAGTAGAAGACATTACTGGGGACATGGTACCTGCAGCTTTTGGAGGAGTAGCAATCAAAGGCAGTAGCAAGGGGGGCAGAGGAGGACCCATCTCTTGCCTAATTTTATTTATAGTCTCGGATGAGCATTTTGTTGCCATAGAAGTATCAGCATTTGCAAGAACTGGCTGAGTTAGTTTAACTTTGAGAGTTTTTGTTTTTCTTTTACCTTGAAACAGCCTCTTTGATAGCTTGGCATGCATTACTTGGGCAGCTGTCTTGGTTGAAACGGTCAAGATTTCAGACGGTTCTTGCTCTTTGCACTTCAATTTATTGCTCTTTTTGAGAGCAACATCCACACAAGACTCTGACTCCAACATACATAGCTTCTCAAATACTGTTTTTTGTGGCTCAGAAGGCTGCCTATCTGTCTGACAATTGCACTCTACATCAGATAGGGCTGGACTTGGAAGATACTTGACAAAAATTTTTTTTCTACTGCTGCCATCTAGGATAACATCAGTGTTGTTTTCTCCTATGTTACAAGCAGAGCAAGTTTGATTATGATTATATTCTTCAAACACTGAGACCCCTGTAGTAGGTACAGGGGTCTCATCATCATGACAGAGATGTACCCCATGTACATCAACACCGTGTAGTAGACTTTGCTCCACATTTGACTGAAGTTTTTCAGAATCATTTTCTTCTAAGAAATTGCCAAGTGCTAACATTCTTGTATTTAATTTACTGTTTTTTACAGCCGGTCTGCAAGTTTCTGAGAATCTGGTTAACATCTGGCATAGTGGTAATCTATTTTTTGAAGTATTTGGCATCACAGGGCTTTCTTTTGATGGCCCAGTTTTTAATGGACTTTCCTCACTGTCATTGATGCATCCAGCTCTGTTAGAATCTACCATGCATTCATTAGCACTCTCAGTATTTTCAGGGGTTACTACTATACACTCTCTTTTCCAGGAGGCTACGTCTTTAGGATAACTCTCCCCAACCACACTTGACAACTCATTTGCAGTATTCAGAGAGGTGTTTGTTTCACTGTGTGTATCCATATCCACCACAGTGTCTGCTTTTAGATGACTAGCTGTCGAAGTATTTCCTGGGTGCATTGTTGAATGAAGTTCACATACTTGGTAATCAGCATCAACAATTGCACCAGCTTCCAGAGCACCCACTGCAATTCTCCTGGAAGCTCTCAGTTCCTTTCTGAACATGGGAACACATTCAGAACATTTCACATATCGAACTTTTTGTATAGAAGAGTCTTCCTCTTCAGATTCATTGCTCTGCTCTGGCATATCAAAATCATTTTTAGTCCTTTTTATGTCATTTTTCCCAGATGCCTCAAAACTATTCAATTCTTTGCTTTCTCCCCCAGCTGTTAGTGAATCAGTTCTAGAGGGATCTGTTCTAACCTCCCATGTAGAAGTCCTGCATCCTGATTCTTGACAATTAAACTTCTGGAGAAGAAAAGTATTCTTATTGTAAGAGTTTGCATCCAGGATCTGTGATTTAACAGATGCCTGAGGTTCTTTATCTACTGGCTGCTCCCTCTCATCTGGAATTTTCACTTCATTTTTGTGTACGTATTCCCTCTCAGGGCAGTCCAGCTCTTTGCACATGTTGTCTTTTTCAGCAGACAGGATCTCACCACCCTCTTCCAAGCTTCCTGAAGAACAGTTAAATGCACTACCTGTAACACAATTTTTATCTCCTTTGTTTTCCCATGTATGGGAAAAAGCAGCCTTTTCTGTGAAATTCGTGTCAAGAAAACTGACAACCTTCTGAAGACTGAAATTTAGATCAGGAGGCATTGTGGATTCCAAGCCAATTCCCACTTTCACAGGAGAATCTGCTTCTTCAGCATTTATACAGCCCATCTTCAAGTCCCCTTGAGTAGAAAAAGCCAAGCCACTATTAAAATCCATTTCTGAAGTAGGCTGGCAGATGATCTCTGAAATATTATTTTTCTTCACATTGACTTCCCAGTTAAATGAACTGGAACAAGTCTCAGTCACCAATTCCTTGCTTTGTTTATTTAATTCCCCTTTTGTTTCATCACATTTAACATTTTCAGTTACCAAGAACTGATTCAGAGGTTTTGCAAACTGTGCCTTAGAAGCAAGATTACTTTCTACTAAGACAGATTCAATGGTATCCACTCTTTCTAACAGTTCACTGCTTTCCTCTCCGAAATCATCTGGATTAACTTTGAATTCAGTCTCTTGAGATTCGAACACTCTAAAGTTTTGAGTTTGGGACAACACACGTTCTAATGTACTACACAAGTTTTCAGGTTGATTTATTTCACCTTTTATTTCTGTAAAATCTAATACAGAGGATTCACACTTAGCTACACTGCTTTCTGCATCCATAATGCATGCTGTCTTTGGTAGTGCAAGTGTACCTTCCAAGTCTGACTTCCCTTGTGATAAATTACTACCATTTTCTTCCTGGTGTGGCTTGCCTTTTAAATATCCCCCCTCCTTTATATCTACTAATTTTCCATTTTCTGCACTATGGAGTAGCTCTGACGATTCAGCTATTTCTAGAACACTTTCTCTGTTAAATTTCATGGCTAGTTCAATAGTCTCAGGTCTGGTTATATACATGTCTTCAATTTTGAGCTGTTCATCATCTTTTGGAAAGGCTGACAAAGCAGCCCTCTCCATATGTACATTTTTGTCTATGTCATCCACAGACAATGAATTTCTGATTCCTTCAATAGCAGATACAGGTAAGTGATGTCTAGAGACTTTAACAGTCTCTGGTTCGCATTCTCTGTCCGCTTCATCTTTTATTGTTTCCACACATTGTTTCTCCAGTATCTCTTCACTGTCACGTTTTATTTCAGAGCACTGAGAGTGTGCACAGACCTCAATAGCTGCAGTGTCTGCCTCCGTCTCCATAATTATTCCCTCCCCATCACGCTGTATCATTAGGTCTTTAGGACACTCCACTTCACAGAAGGATTTTGTGCTACTGAAATCAGACAATACATTTTCAGAGAGCTCTCTCTCATTATTTGCCTCTGCACAGAGTCCTTTCATCTGTACTGCAGCTGTTGTTTCCTCTCCAGTTATCACTTGTTTTACGTTTTCCCCTACATCACTTGACGTATTAATTACTTTGATTACATTTTTTGATTCATTTTCAACCACTTCATTCTGTATCAACACATCAGATTTCTCCTCGGAATCTTCACTTTGCAGCATGATGCATTGCTCAGGTGGCAAATGAGTAACATTTTGGGGAACAGATACTGCCCTGGGAGTTTCTCTGGGAGTTTCTCTCTCTCCTGATAATCCATCTCTTTCTGCTTTCATTAATTCACCATGCTTTTCATGTGTACCCTCACAATCAACAGCTCTGATTAAGATTACATTCTCCTCTGTTTGCTCTACCTTACTACATTTTTCCATCTGATTCTGAGGCTTGAAACTGTGTAACATAAAATCAGCTGAAGAACCTCCCTCTTCACTGTGCATGTCCTCACTCTCTCCTTTCTGTTCTTTGATGGCTTCCAATTCACGTGCTGTTGCTTCAGTTAGTTCTCTCTTCTCAGTTTCCATATTCTCAGAATTCTCCTCCAAACAATCTTTGTTAGTTTCCATGTTTGTAATTAAAGTAGCAGCTTCAGCGTGCTTTGTTTCAGCATCTCTCTCCCTCTTGCTTGACATCTTTGGACCAATATGAACATTCTTTTCATTCCAACTCAGGTTACATGAGATTTCTGCATCAAGACCATGCTCATATGATTTGCTCTGTCTGTTACACTCCTCCTCGAGGCTGAATACATTACAATTCTGAGGCTGAACTTGGTCTTGTAAAATATCCTCCACTGCAGAAGCACTGCAATCAACTTCTTCGTCACTGGAACCTATGACTTCTCCAATCAATATATCCTTTAATGAAAAATACAAAGTTAGTGTTCCAAAGCCTGGTATCAGTTTTAAGATCTATTTCTCTAAACAAATACACTAGTGGCCCTGACATGCAGTGGTTTTGAGAGATTAAGGCTGATCAACAGAATTACATCCTTCTCCATCATTGTTCTTCATAGCAAATGGGAAGTACCTCTGTGAAAAGTCAGAGACTTTTTCACCTACCTACTTGCATTCTAAGATTACTGGAAAACAACATTTGAGTAGGTTCCCCTTGACTTTCAAGCTGTGGAATTTTGCTATGAAAGCCACGCTTACACCCAACAGGAGTTGGGACTGTAAGTCTGCAACAGTGGGAAAAGAAATTATGACAGCAGTTGAGACATGGGTGACTTTGTTTTAAATATACTTCTGAAAATTATGTTTTGCCCCTTTCCACAGGCAGTATGCTAGAAGTTAAAAAAGTATCCATACGGATCTAAACACTCACAGGGAGACCCTTTCAGTGCATGAGTAACTAATACTGATACTCAAAAAAATAAAAAAGCCCAGGAATATCAAATCATTATTTTTGCAGTAATTATACAAAGTTAGTGCCAAGTCAGACACATCCTGAAACTCACCTGTGTAGTTAGTGGCGAAAGCTGTACTGGAGAAAGTAGAGCAGGGAGAGGCCTGGCCCAATTCAATATATCCATCACATTTCCACCTGGGCCCTTTTGCTCCTGATCAGAGAAGTCTGAACTGCTGTGTGCCCCATCTGTCTGTATTATCACATCTACAGTTTTATCCTCACCACCCTGCAGACGTTCTTCAGTAGTCCTGTTCTCAACACAGTCGCCTCCAAAAGGCTCAGTACACGCTTGAAGTTGCATGGCTGTTACAGAATTTTGCTTTCCAGCACTTTCTAGTGAAGAATACCAAGGTAGTGTTTTGCCGTCACACTTCCTGATCTTTTGGTGGATTTGTACAGTTTCTAAGACACAAAAATATTGTTAAGAACTTTTTCCCCTCCCATTTTTCTTTATAGAAATAATACATCATAGTAATAAGAATGCATAACCGTCTTTTCAAGTGATGTTCCCATAGACTAGTAATAAGAAGCACTTAATGTCACTTTCAGAAATATTTTCCTTACAGAGATCAGATATTGTTATTCACAAACAATTATTTTTTCATGAAAAAGGTATATGTATGTGCAAAGAGCTCCCCCCCAAACCACTTTCTGACTTGGATCGTTAAGGCTATTCTTCCCAATTTTTCTTATCAGGAAGGGCCATACTGGGTAGGACTGAAGGTCCATCCAGCTCAATGATTTATTTCAGTTTTAGCCCAGTAACTGATGTTCAGGAAAAGCAGGACAAGCATGCAGTGACATTCCCCACTCAGGTTGTAATTCTCAGCTTAAAGCAACCTGTAGCTTTGAGCCAGCAGCTGCACTTGCTGACCAGTTACAGTTATACCCTGCGATAAACACAGTAAGGGAGTTCTTAGCTATATTCCTAGTTTTATGATTTAATATGCATATGCTTTTAAAGCATTGGTTCTTTAAATTTCAATATTGAGTCTAATTGTGCAAGATTTTGTCTCTAATGATGTGAATTAGATAAAGCTGAACCCTTAAAAAAAAAAACCTTAGAAGTGAGGTTGCCCGCACAACATACCTATGCAAAAGGAGTTTGAACCACTAAGACAATGAAAGATACTGAGCAGCTGACAACCCTTTCAAGATAATGTCAACTATACCAGTTTTACAGTTATTCTAGCAGCAAGAAGGCATGTCCAAATGCTCTGTGCGATTCTTTGCATTGTATTTTGTTTTGTTCCTTTTCAAATCACACTTTTTATTATTACACAGTAACCCATTTCTTATGCATGCAGAGAAAAGACATTGCCCCAGGAAAGTCTAAACAGTAGAGACAAAGAATTTAAATATTGATTATAATTGCGCTAGATACTTTTAACAGTGAAAAGATGGCCCAGTTTTCTGAAATTTAAATTCTATGATTTTATAAAAAGAAAAGACGACCTCCAATAAAACAGCAGAAATCAACAATCCCAAAATCCCAGTGTGCCACACGGAACTAGAACCTACTCTGTAGTATTTGCAATTCTTATACGACATTTGTATGTGTGATCTTGTTTATAGTGCTCACAAACACTATTGGACACAGAATCAGCAGTATTCAAGCAAGAGATCACGCCTATTCTGTGTACATCCAGGTACCATCCCACAGTATAAAGAACAGCACATGCACAAAATGGTTTTGAACAGAGGACGTATTGATTTAATTGGCACAACTTGCATTCTGTTGGAAAAATAAAAAAGAATAGTGTGCTTCATTATTGCTGTCTGTGTTTATTCACTACTAGAACTTGCAGAGATACTCCTGAAGCAGCATCAGTGGTGGTATCAGATTTGAAAATACTAATTTCATTCGATAGGTGAAAATTACCTCCCAGAGATCTGTCTCCCAATAACCTTTAAGCACATTCTGATATGTTGGCTCCACTAAAGGAGTTAGTAGGAAAACTGATCAAACCCCCTGTTTCCAAGATCCATCTCAGTCACTCCATGTAGCAGCTCCGTGTCAAAATCTCAATTGTTGCAATGGACAGTAGGAGGAGGGAGAAACTGTTCACCCTGAAGGGCCTTACCACCTCATTTTCCCCAAGGATAAGTAAGCTCTGATATCTCCTTTGGTCAAAGGAGCATCTTACAAGTTTTAAGATCACACACAGTTTTATAAAGTTATTTATGAGCTACAGTACATAGAGCTTCCAGGATGTTCTACATCTTGTCATGAAAAACCTAGATTCCTTTTACAATTCGAGTCCCATTAGACCATCCAAGGGAAAAGCAGATCCTTCACAAGCAGAAACAAAGAAAAGAAGGAAAATTCAGAAGGTGGTTCTCTCTAAGATATAATCTTGGATTGTATCTTAGATTTCTGTCACGCTCCTTTGTACCAACCAGTTCTAATCTCAGAACTTTCTCCACACTGAAGCGGTCAGAAACAAACAGTTCCGTATTTTGCCCCTAGAAGAACTTCCAATTAGACAATTGGGAAGTTTACTTTGCACAGTGAACTACACAATAGTACTAAGTTATCAGGCACTTTACATCCTATCTATACTCTCAAGATCAGTCATACGCCTATATGGAGCCTAAGAATATTGATATACACTATCCACTGAAAAGTTCCCTCTGAGAAAGGGGTCAAAGATATAATTTCTGAATAACTAAGAGATTCTCCATCCTTCTCTCTTCACCCCTTTCCAACCCAATCCCTGATAACTTTGTCTGAATTTCTTTAGGAATGAGATGCTTTTCTCATGGTTACCCCTTTATCTGTAGGAAGAGTTGTCATAGCAATTTTCAAAGGTTCAGGATATAGTAAACTTCTCTATAGGAATCAGTCAACTCTTTGGCACCTTGGTCTGAACTTCAGGTCCAGGAAAAGCCCTACTAATATCGAGCCCTTCTCATCAGAAGGATCCTCTCAAAGATCATATTTCACAGACAAATTTTACTTTATCCAGGGAATCGTACTCTTTTTCATTATGTCACTTACCAAAATTATTAAGTTTTGTCCTCAAATCTACAACCTGGAATCTAGCTTCAAACCCTTACATCGCTGCTTTCTCCCACTTCTGAGAGAAGGTTAAGATTACTCTGATCTGAAAACACCATCAAAATCTACCACGCACTACTGTGAAATAATTCCTTGATGAATAATGGAGAAAGGAGAGCAGACATGAAATAAGCAATCCAATGCTAACATCGGTTGCTTTGGTACTAAACAAATTGAATTTTACAACTCAAATCCTTGCTCCTGATCATCCACATTGCAGGGTAATTCACCGCTGCAAAACAATGTCCTCTTCTCTCCCCACCCTAAACAACAAAGCAACTTTCTGACACAGGTCTTGTTTTTTTTCTCTCAAAAAGAAAGACCAGATTATCCAGATGCTGGATGTTTTAGCAAAATAATTCATCTAGCCATAGAATCTCTTCTGGTTTACAGCAAAATCTCATCACTATCAGCACAGTGACTGCAAATGCCTGGCAGTAGCAACTGCACACTTCTCAAGGACAAACAGCAATATTTCTCTGAGGAAAAATCCCGCCACAGAAAATTTCTAATGCCCTGCTGACAACCCTCAATTTTTCAACCTGTTTCCAATTATGTGAATTTCAGGATGTTTTATACACTAGCTATTCTTCAGAACTACAGACCATATTCTGGTTTTCGAGACAGCAAATCCCCACATCCCATCATAGGAAACAAATAATTAGGGTGAACATTGCATACCTGAAACTAAATGTGTAATGCTACACTATCTAAAAAGGTGTTATCTTAAGAGATTTTCACATGGTCTTTAAGACAGAAAAGAGGTCTGCTTCTTAAATCACTCGCATCCTATGGACTTTAATCTCAGGACCATAAAACATACACAGGCCCTTAGGGATTTGGTCTTATCTTTGTATTTTACATGTAATGCCACTGCCTTGTATCTCCTTTTATCTGGTATTAAAGCAGACACCAAGGTACCTCCAGTATGCTCTGTTTCCATCCCTGCTCTTAACATCTGCATGCAGCTTCTCCCCTATCCTGGATCCTCAAACAAAAAGGAAGATCGGATAAGATGGGTATAGCTCTGTAGTAGGCCAGATTTAGCTCAGAACCCTGTTATACGTAACTACTTGAAGAGGCTCAGCTCCTCCCAGACGTGGTCTTCCCATCTTCCCTCATCTCCTCTCACCATAAACCTGCATATAAACAGTGCCTGTTGGAGAATCCAAATTACCAAAATCTTCAGCATTGGGCTGCAAGATTATTCAAATTCTTCTTCACATGTCCATTCACAATGTAGGTGACTTTACGCTCAAATTACATGGGAAACAGTTTTCCGAAGTCTAAAAAACCAGCACTGTCTTATTAACCTTAGATTATGGTCTAAGGTTATTGGTCTGATGGTCAGCTGCAGGTAGAGTCAACTTTATTACCGGCAGATTTGTAACAATACTAACGTGACCAAGCAAAATGCTTTTAAATTAAGTTTGGTAAAACCTCCACGTTTCCTGGAAAAAGCATGAATGGAAAGCATGATGAGTCTTCCAGTTTTCATACATGAACATGCTCTTCAAGAAAGCCATTCAAAGTGGTATCAACCCTGGTGGAACAGAGAAGGCACTGATTCTAATGCAAAGCTTTGGATATTTTACAGCACACTTGAGTGTACTAAGAAATCAGTCAAAGAGGTATCTTTCTGAAAGGCTAGATCCAGGCAGACAGATGAACTGACGTTCTCTGGAAAAGATGCTTCAGCAATACTACCGTCAAGATGATTTGCTCTCTAAGATGAAACCATTATAATATGGGACAAGAAATTAGGGCAAACTCATTAAGATCCTTTTACTTGCTAGAAGATTGCATCTGTAAACATAAGCATTTTGCCATTATGAATCCAAGGTAATGGCCGCTTTCACGAGAGGCAGAACACCAAGATGGCTGTCCTAGGCTTAAAGACGGAAAAAACAAACGCAAAGCAACAGAAAGTAAGATGTATTTCTACAATATCTAGCCACTCCAACAAAAGCAAAAGAGGGACTGACTAGAAGGGACTGTTATGGACAATTGCTTCCTTTTGTGAAAGTACTGTAGTTTCCTTGAGAAGATGTGAATAGGAAAGATGGGACAAGACTCCTAGAATCTAAAGACCCCCTTGCGGTGGATGGGAAGGGGATGACACTAGAAACCGATACCCCTGAAATCATCCGTATTTCAAACTCCCCAGCTTCTTGTGCTTGTTCTTGTCACTTGATTGACCCTTGATCAAGAAACCAAATTCAGAATCTCAGGGGACAATTGTCTAGCTCAGTTTTGGAGCTGAAGCCACAGATCTGCTGCATTAAACTGGTGGGAGTGAGGTGGATAAGCCGGTTTATGAGCCGGTCCTTATATTTTGGCGCCTCTTAAGTGGATTCCACCGGAACACAGTCTGAAACTAGATTCATTGGGACCTACACTGGTATCAAACTTTCAGACTTAACAGGGTGGGGAGACAGGATAACAGTTCACCTTCAAAGCTCTTAATAAGGCAGGGTACTTATCCCAGACAGTATCTCTACAGCCTGAGTTAACAGAAAACCAAAGTAGCAGAGAAAATAAAAGAAAAATGAAAGATTAATAAGCACACTCTGGAGAGACAACTACAGAAATACTAATGCAGCTTCAAGGCACCTATTACTCTTGAGGGCAAAAGGAAAATGACATCTGTTATGTGAAGTTAAAACAGTTCAAGTTTGTTGTGAATGTGCATATGGATAACTACTCAGATTATTTTTTATTATTATACTGAATATCACATTACAAAATTAAAGCTATCACCAAATTATACGTTTTGTTTCTCTGTATCACAAATATGAAAATTAATGCACCGTTATCTATTATTATTCATGCAGTTATGAATGAAGAAAATGGTAGTAACAGCTTCTTAAATTTTACAATCCAACTATGTTACCATGTGTTTGTTTCAGACTAAAAAGAGTGCTTGCATGCTGTAATTCACATTATACACTGCAGATTTTATAATGATATAATAATTAAGGTATAAACATGAGAGGTGAGTCTGGACTACTTAGAAATAGCGAAAGTGGCTTATAGTAAAAGAATTTGATTTCTCAATTGCAACAGCAGATTACAACAGCTTTTATTTAGTTTTATAACAGCCAGTTTACTTGGCTGTTCAAATTAATATTTGCAATTATTTTCAAATATTCTAATCACACATGTACTTGACCAGGCAATCACCAAGGGAAGTATTTAAGTCTGTCAAAAAAGTGTTATGCAAACAGTACCCATCACAGTAAGACTAAATTAATGCACTTGCATATTAATAAATTCACATTTACTGGAACCTACCTTCTGTAACAGTCAGTCTTCTTTTTTCAGGCCATGCCTTATCCTGAACAGAAGCTGAAAAAAATGTATCAACATTTATTTTTGGTCAGAAAAAGAGACAGCTTCAAGAAAATGTCAAGACTTAGCATGCCATCTCACCCAAGACAGGATCATTTTCTCGATTCTCTCTTTTTCCTGTTGCACTGTCAATGCACATCCAGAGTTCTTCTAACAAGAGCTTTATTTTTTCTGTTAAAATAAATATTTTTATAAATTGAGGAAAACCTCAACTGCTCAGAGAGCTAAGAATTTATGTTTCTTTATTTTTACTCAGAACACAGACATGCCTACAACAAAACTCAAAATACCCACAACAAAAATTAAGACAAGGGACATAGGGGCATTTTAGCTTCAGAGAAAGAGAAATGCTAGATGCCATTGAGAGAATGGATCCTGTATTGGCCATAGCTGCATAGCAGACCGAAGGAACAGCTGCAGAACGCTTTAGCTTTTCCTTTCTATAGTGAAGGTGGCAGAAAGTTGTAGCAGCCCCCAGAGTAAAATGTAAAAGCAGATTTGAATGTAGCATTAGTGAAATTAAACAGCTTTCTAGAACAACTCAGGTGACATGAACATAAATGGGGGAGGAAATGTTTTAGGAAGAAAGAATTTATATCACATTCTTTCTTTATGCCCACTCAGTAGTAACTTGTCTTAGTCTTACCATAGAGCAACAGCACATTAAATGTATCTGAATTAACTATCAGGCCATAACATTAGTAGACATTGTCTGGAGTCCTAACAGCACCATTGGTAGGTGATACCAAACAACCTAGTTCCAGAACCAAAAGGGCAGGTGGAGAGGGAGAAACAGACCAAAAACTCAACAAAATACACAAGCATCTCACCTACTTATGCCAAAACTATCATCAGATCCAACAATCAGGAACTGAGACTACTGGTTTTGTACCAATTCCATAAGTCAAAGACCACAGCAAACTGCTACTATTTTATGAAGAGACATATTAAAAAACCTCAGCACATAAGAGGAAAACCTGCCATATTTTGCATGACAGCTATTAACAACACTAACAATTTCTCATTAGTAATAAAGCCTTGCTGCTATTGGAAGCTCAAATTAGAGCTCAGATCTTAATTTTCCCATTTTGCCATTAATTAAGAATTAAAGGATGAAATTGGGTACCAATTTAGTGCAATCCAAAGGCAGTAAAAATATGCCAAGACACACAAGAACTGACAAGGTCTACCTTTTTCAGAAAAGTTTAATTTTGGCAACAAACTTTACATACAAATATTGCAAAGCAAGAAATAGAACAGGGAAGTTCTTTTGCCTGAAAATTGCCTTCAGAACTTCTAAACAATTCAAAAGCAATACCAGTATTTTAAAAGACTGCAAATATGCAAAAAATAAATTTGCTTAAAGTTTGGCCTCAGTACTTTAGAGGAAGTTTAGGAGTTTGCTCCATTACACAGTTAGATGCAGATAATTTGTAGCAGCTATTTTAGATCATTAGGGAAAAAAAGTCAATAGGATAAGAAACAGCTATACATCCTGGATTTCCACTTGATTTACAGAGCCTCACATAGAAATTGTAGCAGATTACACTCCTATCTTCTATCTTTTGCTTTGCATGCTTCCTTTATGATTTCAATGAGACAATGGAATTATTTTGTATTTTTCTCAGTGTTTGCATTCTGTTTTATAATTGCACAACAACTGACTTCACACATGCATGGGGTAGACTAGTCATTTTAATGAATCAAGTATTTTCCTTACTGCAAAACTGAAAATAGTCATCTATTACATTAATCCTTCATCAGTGTAACATATTTGTATCAATCATATCTGCTCTTACAGCATTTCTGTCAGTACCCTCTGTTTCCAAAAATGCAACTCCAGAAGAGCTGCAATGGTTGGTTCCGCACAGAGAACAGTCTTGCAAAAAATCTTACCTTTGTCTATATCTGTTGTAAGATCTTCACTTGAACTCTGGGTCTCCACATGCTTAACTATTAAAAAGAGGAGAGGAGGGAAAGGAAATGTTCAAATGGAACAATACCACACACAAATCTGAAGGCAATCAAAGGTGAACACTTACCTTTTCTGCACTTCTCTTTAAGTACACCATCAAGTTTTCCCTGTTAAAATTAAATAATAACTTTTCATGCCATACATAGTTTGCAGAGCATCTACTCTTGCATGACATCTAAATCAACATTTCAAAGCTCATGCTTCAGTTCGAAAATTTCTATCTCTTAAGGTGAATTGCTCAATATCCCCAACAAATGTAATTTTACTATTTCAGTATCTCTATTACTAGTAACTTCCTTTTTTACCCCCAGAAATACTAAAAGAAGCTTCATCCAAAAGACCAGGAAAGTCTTACTTGTGCCTTCTTTAACTCCTTTTCAAGCCTTTTCTTTTCAGTTTTCAGTTGTCTGAAGTCCTGTGTATGCTTTGTTGCAGCCTCTTCAAGAAAGAGAACCAAAATTCAAGTTAGAAACTATGATATAAGAGACAACTAATTTAGGTAGTATTGGTCACTAGTTTGCAAATCAAATAACCAGAAAAAAAATAGGTAGTGTGAAATACAAATCTGTTGAAGTTATATTTTGGCTCATTAAGACAACAACTCATGCATACAAGTATGTTGTCTTCCACTGCATAATTACTATTCTGAACTACTGAAATACATTTATTACTTTTCTCACTTACATGCAAGAATGAAAAGTGGGTCATATTGTACTGATACTGTACTGTAGAACAATATACACTACGTGAAAAAAGGGAATAAAATTAAGAATGAGGTGCAATGCTTTTTTTATGTATTTTATTCTCTTATTTAGAAGAGGGCTCTGGTTCAAAGATGAAAACACCATAACATTAGAAAGATGTAGACAGCACTCAAGACTAATAAACAGAGAAGAGTAACTTATCTATTAATGTCTAACAGACACCTGGGAAGAGTGTAGATGGGTAGGAATAAAAAGTACAGGGCAGGTAAATGAGGATTGAATGTGAGGTTCCTAGGGAAATTCTCAAGCAAGACAGATACTTGAGAGAACTCCTGAGAGATCAGCTTGGTTACTTATACATGGACAGCAGAGAAGACAGATGGAACTTGCCTGCTGATCAGATCAGGTCACAGAAGAGGGCATATCAAAAGAAAGAGCATTAAAAAGGCAGCTCAGGTGGTAGGTTGACAAAAAACAATCATGGGAAAATTTCAGATTGACAAAAGATACCAGGCTAAAATACAGGGTCTGGGATATTTAATGAACCCATAGAAGCACAAAACAAACTAGTTTGTCCTAGGTCCAATTTGAGTGACTATCTCACAGTATTTTGTTCTAGCTCTGTCAGAATTTGAGTTTTTGGGGGCAAGAGGATATAAAAACCTCCACTCCAAAATGGTCATCAAAATAGACCCCCTGTACCTGTACTTTGCAGTAAGATTTGGGGGGGTTCTAACACTAAGATACCAGTCACTCGGTTCACTGTACTTTAAACTGCGGTAAGCACAGCTGTAAGTATGTCATGAATGAAAGTATTTGCCTTGCCAACTAACAGTACCACAAGTTAAGTATCAGAATGCTTTATGCATATCCACCCTCTACTAGCAAAACAAGAAAAACACAGTTCCATGAGGCAAGTGCTTTATCTCTACTCAAATACAAAACAAACAAGCAAACAAACCAACCAAAAACCAATTGCCAGACTATTTAAAAATCAGAAAACATGTGTCAGGATCACTACATATTTAAATATGATTATAAACATGACTAGAAGAATCCTGCCAAGACTATTAGAATGCTGGAGCACATGCCCTGTGAAAACAGGCTCATTGAACTAGACTTAATTAGCTTGAGAGGAAAAAAAAAAAACCAAAAATACTTAGAAGGGATCCAAGAGTGGCTTTCCTGTACCTACAAGGAGGTATCAAGAAGATGGAACTGTTCAGTGGCGCATGGTGGGAGGATGAGAGACATCAGGCATAAGTTGAAACAAGAGCGTTTCCAACCAGCTATTAAGGAAAAGCTTTTTCACCATGAAGACAGCCATGCAGCGAATCAGGTTGCCTGGACAGGCTGGGCAGACTCCATCCTTTGAGGTTTTAATGACCAGAAGTTCCCTTCCAACCTCATTTACACCATGTGCCTAAGATACTCAACAGAAAACATTTTGCAGGAGGGCTGATGTAATTCAGAGACTAAGCACCACACATAGTACTGCCCTGCCTTGCTCCTTGGGGCCTCAGAGTTAGAAAGTTGCAGTTACTTCTTTGGATAAAAAAAGGAATCAAGAAATGGAGTAGTTCAACAGCACAGTAACACAATGTAGAAAGTTACCTTCAAGTTTCTTCACTTTTGTTTCCAGTTTCTTTCTCCTGTTAAAAAGAAGGCATTAATACATCATTTTTGTATAGAATTATGTTGCATGAAAAGCCAGGGAAAAAAAATAATCTAGCCATTTCAGAGGAAACCCACTTCCTAGACCCAGGACCTGTGAGACCAATGTATCCCTGAAGTTGAAAACTTAAATCAGTGGCATGTTGCTGACATTCTCACACAAACAGCTGTATCTGTTACAGAGGTAGAGTTTGCTCTTAAGAGAGTCAGTCCACTAACCCAGGTACATAAATATACCTTCAGCTACAACTTGGAGTTACAAACACAACCCAAGAAAAATGGCTTCCAGTTTTTGCATTTCTATGATGTAACGCAGGCAGGTTAGTTTTACTCCTTAAAAACAATTAAGCCTTACTTACAATCAATAAGACCTAAGCAATGAGACAATCAGAAATAGCCTTCAGGATCACTTATGTCCCACAGCTTTTTGTTCAGAATATCCAGGTGTTTACGAAAGCCAAACCAAAACCAAAAAAATTATGCATCTTGAAGAATTTTGCCTTCAGCATTTTCAGCCCTACCTTATATGTAAAACATACACAGAACTGGAAAATAAAATAAAAAAAGTAAACACTTCTATTATTTCCTTCTGCTAAATCCCAATATCCCAGAAGCAGTTTTTAAACTCTTTTGATAAGTAGAGGACTCTGTCCTGACAAACACAAGTTACCAATGCTCACTGATCACTTTCATGAAGAACACAGTTCGTCCATTCCCCATATTAAAACTTGTATAATGGATTGAGATTTACAGCCTAAGCCTTTCTGGATGTGCGAGCTTTAATCATCACTTCAGACATTAACTAGAATACATTTGAAAACCCACTAGGAAACAGGACGATTGACCGCCTTTGGCATGTTCAGTAGTCAAAGCATTTATACTACAAATAGATTGGTGCTCTTAGGCCTTCACAGCCTGAACAGGTTCATACTTAACTCTCTCTATACTCAGATGATGGCTTTGACAGTCAAGCCATAGGTGAGAATTTCAGAAAAAAATCCTCATAATACATCTTTGCAGAAAAAAAAAAAAGAAAAAAAAAGGGGGGGTTGTCCTTTGAAAAATAGCAGGTAACAAACTTCTGTTTCTCTGTAGATTATCTTCTGACCAATGCACAGAAGTACTGCATCTACAATGTATGAACATCAGAAGCAAGGACAGGCGACATGGGAGGACTACAGAGATGCTGTTCACCATTGTAGGGAGAAAATTCGTGCGGCCAAAGCTCAATTAGAGTTCAAGCTGGCCAGTACTCTAAAGGACAATAAAAAGGGCTTTTTAAAATATTAACAGCAAAAGGAAGATCAGAGATAACATTGGTCCATTACTTGATGAGGTCGGTCACCTAATAAATAGGGACGTAGATAAAGCAGAGACGTTTAATGCCTTCTTCACCTCTGTCTTTAACACTAATGATGGGCCCTGGGACCCCCAGAGCCCTGTGTTGGAAGACCGTGACTGGGGGGATGATAAACTCCCAGCCGAACCTGAACTTGTTCAAGACTTGCTGCTCCAGCTGGATGCATGTAAGTCTATGAGGCCTGATGGGATTCATCCCAGGGTACTAGAAGAGCTGGCCGATTGACATCGCAGGACCTCTCTCCATTACTTTTCAGTGCTCTTGCGAGCCTGGAGAGGTCCCAGTCGACTGGAAGCTGGCAAATGTTGTCCCAATTTTCAAGAAGGGTAAGAAGGAAGACCCTGGTAATTACAGGCCTGTCAGTCTCACTTCAGTGCCAGGTAAAATTATGGAGAAGGCTATTCTGGGAGTTACTGAAAAACACTTGAGAGACAATGCAGTCATTGGTCATAGCCAGCACAGGTTCACGAGGGGAAAGTCCTGCTTAACCAACTTAATTTCCTTTTATGACAAGGTCACCCATCTAGTTGACCAAGGGAAGCCAGTAGATGAGGTGGTTTGGGATTTTAGTAAAGCTTTTGATACAGTCTCTCACAGTATCCTTCTGGACAAAGTGTCCAGCACACAGCTAGACAAGTCCATAATACATTGAGTGAGCAATTCGCTGAGGGGTCGGGCTTAAAGAGTTATAGCAAATGGCATTACATCAGGCTGGTGGCCAGGCACCAGTGCAGTTCCCCAGGGCTCAATTTTAGGGCCAGTGCTCTTTAATGTTTTTATATATGATCTGGACACAGGAGTCAAATGTGTACATTAAGTAAGTTTGACAATGATATGAAATTAGAAGGAGCTGTGGACTCACTCAAGAGTAGAGAGGCCTTCCAGAGAGATCTGGATAGACTAAAGAGCTGGGCAATCACCAACCAGATGAAATTTAACAAGAACAAGTGCCAGATTCTCCATCCGGGACAGGGTAATCCTGGTTATATGTATAAACTGTGGGATGAGAGGCTGGAGAGCAGCCCTGCAGAAAGAGATCCGGGGGTTTGCGTTGATGGCAAGTTGAACATGAGTCAACATCGTTACCTGGCAGCTAAAAGGGCCAACCATGGTGCATCAAGCACAGCATAGCTAGCTGGTCAAGGGAGCTGGTTGTCCTACTCTACAGTGCACTGGTGCGGCCCCACCTTGAGTACTGGTTGCAGTTTTGGGCACCTCAATACAAGAAGGACATCAAACCATTAGAGTGTGTCCAGAGGAGGGCGACCAAGATGGTGAAAGTTCTCAAGGGCAAGACTTAGGAGGATCGGCTGAGGTCACTTGGTTTGTTCAGCTTGGAGAAGAGAAGGCTGAGGGGTGACCTCATCACAGTCTACAACTTCCTCAAGGGGGGCAGTGGAGGGGGAGGTACTGGTCTCCTCTCTCTGGTGACCAGCAACAGGACACGAGGAAATGGAATGAAGCTGCATCAGCCGAAGTTCAGACTGGACATTAGGAAAAGGTTCTTCACAGAGAAGGTGGTCGGTCACTGGAGGAAGCTCCCTAGGGAAGCAGGGCCCCAAGCCAGTCAGAGTTCAAGGAATGTCTGGATGATGCTCTCAGTCATATGGTTTAGTTTTAGGTAGTCCTGCAAGGAGTATGAAGTTGGACTCAATGATCCTTATAGGTCCCTTCCAACTCAAGATAGAAATTCTATGATACAAACAACTAAGAATCTGAATAACCAGAGCACCGCTAAATGCCAACGTTTATCATTGCAATGATATTTACAGAAGAAATAGTTACTTTTACAGGTGCAGTAGTATGCTGACTAATTTCATCAACACATGCAGTTACATTAAGAAAGAAAATAGGTAGATGCTAACTCTAGTCATTCACAAAAAGCAAGGTTTGTAGATGATGCATTTGGACAGAACTCCTCTTATGCTACGCAACTCAAGCTCCTATCTGATCTAAGATGCATGCACAACTTCAGCTGACAGAAAGCTATGTAACAGAAGTTGCATTCAGAAGCAGAATACATAATTATAATCTACCCAAACTGCAAAACCCATGTGGTTATATTTGTAATACTCAAAAGCTGAAAAATATAAACAACTGTCTGTCATATTTATTCCATCCTTAGAGAGAATGTGATCTTTTAATTTAAATGAGCAACCTTACTTCTGTAACAGTCTAACATTTTGAGTATTTCTTTTGAAGCTTGTCTGTAGGAGTAATTTCATACCTAAAACCTTCTTCACAGTGGACATGCGTATTTGTGTCAAGTTATCACGCTTGTTATAAGCTCAGAATTGGGGAACTGCCATCCCTGTAAATATTCAAAATTCAACTAGACAAGGTCCTGAGCAACCTACCTTTGACACTGGCTCTGAATGGCAGACTGGACCAAAGGACTTGAGATAATTTTTGACCTAAATTATTTTACAGTAACTGTAGATTAACATTCATTTTATGAGCAATTCAGTAGAATTTGGCTTCTGAAGAAACTCAGCTCTCAAATTACTGAACTCATGTGACCTACTACTTAAAATGGCCTCAGCATCAAAGTTGATAAAATAGCTATAGCATCACAGAATGTTTGAGGTTGGAAGGGACCTCTGGAGGTCATCTTGTACAATGCCCCTGCTCAAGCAGGGCCATCTAGAACAAGTTGCCCAGGACCATGTCCAGATGGCTGCTGAGTATCTCCAAGGACAGAGAGGCCACAACCTCCCTGGGCAACCTGTGCCAGTACTCAGTCACCCTTCACAGTAAAAGGAGCGTTTCCTGATGTTCAGAGGGAACCTCCTGTGTTTCAGTTTGTGCCCATTGCCTCTGGTCCTGTCACTGGGCACCACTGAAAAAAGTCTGGCTCCACCTTCTTTACACCCTCCCTTCAAGTATTTATGGACATTGATAATACCACCCCAAACCTTCTCTTCTCCAGACTGAACAGTCCCAGCTCTCTCAGCCTTTCCTCAAGGGAGAGATGCTCCAGTCCCTTAAGCATCTTTGTGGCCCTTCACAGGACTCTCTCCAGTATGTCCATGTCTCTCGAGTACTGGGGAGCCTAGAACTGGACACAGTACTCCAGGCGTGGCCTCACCAGTGCTGAGCAGAGGGGAAGGAGCACCTCCTTCAGCCTGCCGGCAATACTTTGCCTAATGCAGACCAGGACACCATTGGCCTTCTTTGCCACAAGGGTACATCACTGGCTCATGCCCAACCTGGTGTCCAGCAGGATCCCCAGGTCCTTTTCTGGAACTTCAGAAGTTTCCTGTCAGCCCATTTCTCTAGCCTGTCAAGCTCACGCTGGATGGCAGCATGCCCCTCTGGCCTATCAGCCACTCCTCCCAACTTTGTGTCATTTGGCAAACTTGCTGAGGGTACGCTCTGCCCCATCGTGCAGATCACTAACAAAGGCGTTAAACAGGACTGGACCCAGTATGTGGTCCTCCTTCTCCTCTCCCCCCAGGGTACACTGGCCTCTAGTTACTGGCCTCCAACTAGACTTTGCGCCGCTCGTCACCACCCTTAGGGCCCGGCCATTCAGCCAGTTTTCAATCCACCTCACTGTCTGCTCTTCCAGCCCCTCTAGCAACAGCTTGAGGGGCTATAAGGCTTTTATGAGAGACAGTGTCAGAGACCTTACTGAAGGCCTGGCAGACACTAGCCACTGCTCTCCCCTCATCTACCAGGCACATCTGTTCATAGTAGAAGTTTATCAAGTCAGTCAAGCATGACTTCCCCTTGGTGAAGCCATGCTGACTACTCCTGAGGAGTTTCTTGTCCTTCATGTGCCTGGAAATGGGTTCCAGGATGAGCTGCTCCATCACCACCATCCCAGGGATCGAGGTGAAGCTGACTGGCCTGTAGCTTCCTGGCTCCTTCTTCTTGAAGATATGAGTGACAGATAGGAGATAGGCGATATATCTCTATTGACACAGTATATGGCCAGCACATTAGGGTGGTCGGTTCCCTCTTAAGATGCAGTTAGCAATGGGGTAGCTCCTCTCTGCTGCTCTTAGATAGGATGATGTGCTGAAGATTCCTTTAAGCTCACAGGACATAGAGTACCTATATGCGAAATAAGTGCAGTCTGGCAGGAGAAGTGACAACAATGCTAGTCTGCTTGTACAATCTTTTGGATGATAGTGGCTTGCTGCTGTGCTTATGAGTACTGTATGTTTCACAAGGCATGCAAAGATACTAGGGTATCTCATTTGAGAGATGCTTCAGTCCCTTGATCATCTCCGTGGCCCTTCATAGGACTCTCTCCAGTATGCCCATGTCTCTTGTACAGAGGAGCCCAGAACTGGACACAGTACTCCAGGTGTGGCCTCACCAGTGCTGAGTAGAGGGGAATGATCACCTCCCTCGACCTGCTGGTAACACCAAAATAGCTTAGGAACACCAAACTTAGAAGTTATAGCCAGTTTACAAGGAAGGAAGTAAGGAGTCACCAGTGGGAGTCCCACTGGGATGTGTGCTGGAACACATCAGAAATAAAAGCTGACTACAAAAAACAGCAGAAGGGTCTTAGAATTTCAAGCTACTAGAGAGCAATCATTGGTGTTACTAAATGCAAAGTGATGCACATTGAGAAAAACAACCACAACTACAAACTCACAACATTCAGCTGTATATTAGCTGGTTCTCTTTTGAGAGCATAAGTACCTTTCCATGCAATACTGAGAAGTCACAGTTCCCTGATACAGGTGATTTAGAGGCTAGGAGTATAACAGATTAAAAAGCAATTAGACAAATTCATTAGAGAGTCCATCAAGAGCTGTACGACATAACACACACACGCTCCAGGCAAGGAAGCCCTTGAGTGACTGGTTACTGGAAGAACAAGCTTTGGGAATTATCAAGGCACAGCTTCACAATATTCTGTGTTATGGCAGCAAAAATGGCTTCTGCATTTTTTGGCACCAAATCCCTCCTGACCATTTCCAAACATGGTGGACAGTTCAGGGCCTGCTGAGCTGTTTCTTTAAAAACAGTTATTTTAAGGACTGATTTTAAGTGCAGATCACTTCGGCAATATAATTTATATATTAGCCTCAGAGACTTATCAGCACAATGGAAACGGACAGCAATAACAAAAAGCCAAGACTAAGAACCACTTAAAACTGGAGAAACTACAGCTGCTTCTCCAATCTTATCCTGTTCTTAAAAACCTTTGCTGAACAACCACCAAAAGCCACTTCAAGACAGGATAATAATTAAACTAATACTACCTTCCAGAGTGTTTGCTACAAACTTTAAGACCATTCTTCCATCAACTCCCTGTTCTAAGAACCCATAAGCATAAAAAATTTAGCAAAATGTAAAGCGTAACTAGGTAAGGTAAAAGACCAAGTTCTGGAAGAGGTAAGAGGGGGAAAGAAGTGTTGTGAAAAAATGAAGCATCACTCACACAGCATCGCTGTTTACTATTTCTTCTTTAATTTTAACATATTCCAGTTGACTCTCCCGATAAATCTTGAGAGAACTCTGTGGAGAAGGAAAGCACAGTTAAAATATGTCCTTACTGGGGGGGGTGGTGGGGGAGATGGCAGACACTTTACCTATTCTAATGAAAACAGCAAATATACTTTTTTGGCTATGCAATGAGAAAAACAAGCAAGTTGAAAAGTCAGGTTATTCTTCTTCTTTAAAGGCAAAAGTTATAACAAACAAACAAACATGAATAGATATAGATTGATTGGTATCTTCTGAGTATATCCCTCCAACATCTGTCTGGATAGGAACTCAAAGCTGAAGTCAAGAGCACAACTATTATACACCATACATATAATCCTGCTTTTTCTGAAAAAGTGCCATCAGGACATCAGCTACTAACGCTTGCTGAGGGAAGAGGATTTAAAAAACAGTTCTAATATAGAAGAAAAACTAGGTACAGTGACAAGACAAATGTTAATATCCTACCTTGTATCAGCATGAAAAAAAATACAAGAAAGAGGGTGGGGTATTTTTTGCAGAAATAATAGTTAATGTCTAGAAAAATACATGTATTTAGGCGATTTGAACAGTCAAAAGCTTTTCTTCTGTAGACTAAATCTCAGTTAAGGGATGGGAGAGAAATTAGGAATAAACTCAAGTAGCTAATAATGTAAAAGCATATGTTCAAAATGGTAACAGAAGCAAAATCCTATTCTGCACAGACCCTCTTTGCACCTTTTTAGTCGTACAAGTTAAAGAGAGTTCAGTAATCTAATAAGATCAGAACAGAAAACCAAAGGAATTTGAATGTATCTCCTTCCTTCCTAAATAAGGAAATAAAACCCAAATGATCTGATCAAAAATCATAGGCAAAAAGTTCAGGCTTTTGTAGTTCCTATCTGAAACCTGCTGCCATTTAATTAATTTCACCTAAAACCAGAGCTGCCTGTCCCAATGAGCTGGAAATAACAACTGGGCTCATTAAAGCCTGCTTCATTAAGATGATTATTAAATATATACATTTCCTTCAACAGAAGAAGTGCAAGTTATTTAAACCTTACAAGCACACCTTTTTCTCTTCCAACTCTGCTTTCAAGGAACCCAACTCTTCCTGGCACTTTTCCAGAGGCAGGATTTTCTGTAGCATCTGCTCCACTTGGCAACGAAGAGCAGAGATCTCTCTGAAACGGGAAGTTGCCAAAAAACATGGGTGCTTTCAAACTCAATGTTCTGATTTTTCAGGCAAGTGTCCAGAGTATTTTGCCTTCCCCTATGGAAAAATGCTGTGAGAGATACCCAAAGGCTTTTAAGAGTCTAAGTGTCCTCATTTTTCCATCCAACATTTAACATTCAAAGAAAATTCAAGATCTGATTTTAAAACATTAAACTGAGCCTAAAGCTAGATGCAAGCAGATGGCATGTGCCACACTGGAGTACTGCCCAGCTGCCTACACTGAAGTGCCAGGAGTAAGTGTCTCTACATAGAGAAATGTAGAGACTGTGAAATAAGAGCAGAGTCCAACTGCAGGAATTTTCAACAGGCAGGATGGAGTCCGTAAAGATTATATGCTGCCTCTTCCTCTGTAATCAAGTAGAGTAAGCAAGGGCACACAGCCACAACTCTAAGACAAAATGCTTCATACAAATAGGGCCGCCCCAAATACGTTTACATTTAACCACCACCAAAAGATGAGCTCGGCATCTCCACTTGGTCACTTTAGACTCTGATGTAACACAGGGCCAGGAAAGAATTTCACACAGGTATTGCAGAAGGAGGACAGATTTCTCTCCTCATCAAGGGTATCTTTGCTAACTATGGCCTAGGAAGCATGGTAAAAGAAAGGACCATATTAAAAGCTCAGCCTAGACCCAGGGCTGTTGCTGTTACAACATCAGACTCCTAGAGCTGTCCAAGACATAGCATCTTTAGTAAACAGTTTAAATCAAACTTACCGTTCAGCAAATTGAAGCTGTAATCTCTTGTTAAGGTAGAAATTAAAAACAGTTCAAACATCCTTAAGTATATTTCAATCCAATCGCCACTTGCAAAGAAACATCCAATAAAGACTTCCATCCAAAAAACATAGGACTTGCAGAACTAAGCATTTAATTGAAACACTTCAATACATTTGAAGTGAATAAGCAGAGCTGCTTCTGTTACATGAAAAAACTTGAGTCATTCTCAGCAACGCAGGTTTCAAGTAGTCCATATTAAGCCATATATTAGACACAGACGGATCTTAAGTGGATAGTTTTAATTCCAAAGCCTTATTTTTTTTTTTTTCAAAAGCCTATCCAGTCTGTTCTTTACTAGAGGCATCATCCCTTAACTTAAGCCTTAAATAAAAAGCCTCAAGCCCTCTTATAAGAAATGTTGATAGACTAATTCTGTAAGAACACTAATAGAAAAGTAAAGGATATCAGTGCATTTCTGTTGATACTCTGTCAGCAAACGACTGCAAGAAAAAACAAACATGAGACATTACTCATTTTCTCACCTGATTTTGACAATCATGTCTTAGGATACCTTTCCTTTTGCTTTATAGATAAATACAGAAAGTGTAAGATTGGTTTGCATTTTTTTTTTTTATAGTAGTCAACATAACCCTTTTGCTCCATTAAGCCTTTCAAACCTCAAATCAGGCTGCTTTAAAATAGAAAAAAACACCCAACTGGCAATTATATTAATTTGTAGCCATTAACTGTTTGCAGCTTTAAAAAAAAACCAAAAAGCATTATTTAAAGAACACGATATACATATAATGAAAAAATAATCACAAAATCATATCCTAGTTCCTAATCTTAAAAGGATGTTTTCCTAGGAAAGAACACGTAAGAAAAATAGTTCAAAAGGCCCTAAAAGGCTTTAATCTTTACACATTTCTCCTAGCAGCCATTAGAGGGTAACACTTACTCTGATCCGAGGTGTACAGTGGCCCAGGGACAGCACCAAGGAGAGCTAGTCTCTCCTTTCCTCAAACGTTATGGTTTTTAAGAATGGAGAGAAGAAAGGACAGGAAAGAGAAATACCGTGGCAGTTACTCCAATCCAGAGAGCGCTGCATTACCTTCTCTTGCAACAGTTAAGAGTAATCAAGGAAGGCAAAAAAGAAAGGCGTTGAGCTGCAAGTAGTTAAAGAAGAGGTAATTCCCACAAGAAATGTATGCACTGGCAGAGAGAAGAGGAACACAAAGTTTGGAGGTAGGAAAAGGAATATATGGGCACAGAGTAAAGGAACTTTGAGGAAAAGGGTCCCAGTTAAGACAGTGAGGGCTCTCTCAAATACTTTTTTGAAGCCAGAATGCAGGACTGGAATTTAGATTTGCTAAAGCCAGATCGACACATATCTGAGAAAGGGTACATGATAAATAAACCATTACGATTAGGAGACATAGCAAGGATATTAGGCCATAGCACGGAGACATACATAACATATCTATCTCAATACATTATTCCATGCAATCCTATGCTGATGGTTATTGAGAAGAATTGGAAGCAATCACAGAAGAGAAAGCAAACTATGAGAAGCATTTTAGAACCTTACTGTTCTGACTGATGTTCGGCCTCACTTTTTATATTGATATTTAATCCCAACAGCATTTAATGCTGTTAATGCTTAGACTAAGTTCTGTTGAAAAGGTTCGTATACGCCTGTGCTCGACTTTTAGTTCTCATAGTATATTCTTCACAACAGATAAAATGAAATAAATCTCTTCAAAGAGCTGCTTCTGCTAGTATTTGTAATAATATATAAGCTAGTATAGCTATATAAAATAGCCCTGTTTTACCACCTTTACACACAGATGTTTTAGGGCATAAATTAAATAAGTCTTACAGTCTAGATTTAGGACCTGTTTGTGAAGAAGTTACTTCCATTTTGAGGAGGATTTAGTTTTGTGCATTAACGAATATCTACATTCCACAAAACGTATTTGCTGCATTGCTTTAAGAACTTAAGAGCAATAAAAAACAAACCAAAACAAAAAAACCACAACACACTTGTGCACTTGTACTTACTCTCCATCAATCATTTTTTGCTTCAGTGCAATTAATGCGGCTACATATTCATTTATATTCTGTAAGGAAGAATCTCAAGTCGGTAAAGAAGTTTCACCCCAAAACCCAGTACTATACCCTGTAAATAACCCCTAAACTGATTGCTAGTGTTCTACACAATATAATAATCCGTCTTTTTTTCAGTGCTCTTAGTGAACAAGTTAGTAATTCACCAAAAATATATTCATACAAATACGTATAGAAAATGCAGGCTCCACAAGAAAATCTGCATACTCAGATGACGCTTTGCAACAAAAGCTCTTCAAAATTTGCCTTTGCAGTAGATTATGGACTAAAATCCCCGCAGCTTTTTCTCTCAAAATCAAATTAAGCTTTGGCAGAACGTTACCGATAAACAGCATCTAGCTCCTCTGAGCCTACAGATGTCCCGGGTTCTCAATCCACGCTCGCTCTAGGGGTGCCCGAAGGCCTCCTCCGCCCTCCGAACTCTCAGCGGCGCCTGCCCCCCGTTTAAAGGGGGAGCAAACCCTGCTCACAGCGTTGTACCTTCGTCAAATTACTGCAGAAAGGAGGTGAACGGTGGCACTCCTTCCGCCGCACCGAAGCGAACTCAAAAGGATACGCCTAGGAACTCGCTAGCGGGCCCCGCTTAGGCGCGCCGCGGAGACACGAGCTACGCTGCCGCACCTCGCCCGGCAGAAGCTC